ACCAGCAGCTATGGCTGCCGCCACCCACATAGACTCAGTGAGGAGTCTCCACACAGCCCAGCCACTCGCAGAAACCCACAGGGGTTGATGCGCAGTGGATGCCCCAGCTATGGCAAGCCCGCAGCAGGCTGGCTATGGCTGCTGTCCACGGTGAGGGTCTCAGGGTACCGCCTGCAGACAATCGCCGTTGCAAACCTCCTTGGCTCCAAGAGCTGTAACGCGAAAATGAACTGCCAAAAGTCCTCAACAGTCCTACGCTAACCTACTTGTAGAATCAACACTACTCTAGCCTAGGGCCTACCGGTACCGGTTCGGTTAGGGCCTACTCGGCCTCTACGAAACCAGTCCTACTGCTGCACTTAGGGCTCAAGGCCACTGAGGGCCGGTAACCACTCAGCCCCTACTGTTGTTAGTTCCAGCTATTTTTAAAATAGCGGGCGGCCCTCAGTGCAGACCAAAAAAGCACAGCAAGCACACAGCACACTGTACAACCTCGCAAGTAAGTCTCGACATTAGAAATCAGCAAGTCATTGCAAAGTGATACCTGCAGTAGAAGAAGGATTCGGACTTTGATTCTGGTTCAGCTATTCAACATTGTATTATTATTTCTTGTGTGAATAAGAGAGGAGGAGATGAGGAAGGAACAGTTGTGTGAATAAGAGAGGAGGATATCTTTTGTCTATATTGGTGTACATCATCTTCTTCTTCTTACTTCTTCTTCTTACCCTCTCCCTCCTCTCAAGTTCATTCATTTCTTTCTGCAATTGGACAGCATTGTACTATTTGACGAATGTGTATCTTGAAATTGGCCGGGATCTTAACACTCACAGAGGATGCATTGTGTTCGAGGCGCAAGAATACGAAAGAACTAGGCAGTCTGGGTACGTTTGGGCAGTGGAGAAATAGCCCGCTGCCGAAGCAACAGGATGAAATGAAGTTTTGGCGAAACGAAAGATCAAAGCTTGCAACTGAATTTCATACCCAAATTTTGCCCCTCTGAAGCTGGCCTTCGGAAGCCCTGCTTTTCTCGTCCAAACATCCCGGTCATCCAACTCTTGCCAAATGTTCCAAAGCCTTCTGGTCTGCGACAATTTTCGGCATCATTTGCAGGCAGTTGCTGCTGCAATTTGTCTGGCCGTTTCCTAAGCCCGACCGAAGGGTGATGATGTGCGCCCCAGTACTTGTATGCCTGTGCCATCATCGATGCTGTTCCCCGCAGTTTGATCTGGAAAGCCCACATGAAAACCACATGACTTCACCATGAAATAGCAAACAGCAGTATCTTCTGCGCCAACGGGCCTAGCTCAGTTGGTACACCCACTGAACCACTGAAATGTCGACCCACGTTCGAATCCAATGCAATCAGCCAGTCAGTTCAATGCTGATACCTCAAGGCCGTGGCCCTTTTTCTTTTTCTTCTTTTTTTGTTTTTTACAAAGTATCTTCCGCACTCCCATCCACACTTGTCATGACTGCAAAACTTGCATCAAAAGAACAAGTCGAAAACGACCGACATCTTGGCAAGCCCGTTTATCAAACAAAAGAGAGACAAGAACAACAATGACATCTTCACCAATCCACAAAAGAAAGACAAGAAAACAATCCCATCCCATCCACAATCTCGACCAGTTCTCAGTACCGGGGAAGTCTGAGATGCACTGGAGCATATTAGCAATATCAGTGTCACTGGAGCATGCTACTGTTAGTCCAGCTATGACCACAGTAACTGAAGCCCAGAGTCATCAGTTTCAGAGGCAGCAGTTGTCTAAAACCGCCCCTACCTCTGAGCCTCACCTCTTTTTGCCAAGGCCGAGTACAACTGCGCAGCAAGCTTTGGCGGAAGCGACAGAGCGCGCTTTTCGTTTTCTTTTGGCTGACGCCGCCAGCATTTTTGGTCTGGTAGGGCCCAGCCTCCGCTGGCCTCCAAAGAATGCGGTACACGTTATATTCACGACTCAGTGTCCCGGCCTCCCAGCCTGAGAGGTACTGCGGTTTTAAGGACCTTTCTCCACAGAAGAAACGACAAGGCTCAGATGCAAATGACAAGCTTCCAAATTCCAATTAGAACGACAAGGCTCTGAATGGAAATGTTCAAATGAAAATTGGCAGCTGTAGCATACTACACGGTAGTGAAGACTGGAGGTGGTAATGATGCTGCAATCAGCATGGATGTCGCGAGGTGATGAATTGACCTGAGCTTATTTCAATGCAGTGACCATGATTATAGCGGTGCCAACTGAAATCAAGATAGTTAGTTGGATCTCAACTACGTGGGGAGGTAACGCCTATGTCATTCACTGTAGGATTCATCTTCCTGTTTACCATAGGAGGACTTACCAGGTGCTTGTAGCCAACATCATTGATTTTTGCGATGCTTTCCAAGATGGCCCACAGATCCCCGTCACCCAAACCAAGGCCGACCTGCACACGAGAAAAAATGTGGATCAAACATTGTTTTGTTGGACAATGAGATTTTTTTTTTGCCCCCTTTTGTTCTGCCAGGATACGAACACGGCTCTTTTGCTTGAAAGGCAAATATCCTAACTGCAAGGGACCTGACTGTCCACAACTTGCGAGAGTGTATCATAATGCATGCTACGTTGCCAATCACACAGATTATAAACCATCACACAGAACAAAGTAGAGATGAGATGTGAACCAAGATGCGCAGATTATATTATCTCCAACACATTATAAGAGTATCTCGAGTTCAAGAAACAACAGTGCGATATGTCCAATCATCGTACACCTGCCCCTTCTCTCTCCCTTCCTCAAGATCTCTGTCTCAGTTCTTCTCTCTCATCATGCATGCACACTCCCTCTACGAGAATCTACTTTGAATGCTGCTCACTGAAGACTAACTACTAACCCTCTAGCTACATTAACTAGATGGGGCAGCTATGGCTGCTACTTGCAAACCAGCGCCCAGCCTTCTTCCTCTCATAGCGCAGCTTCTCCTGCCAGCGCTCACCCAACCAGCCAGCGCACAAGTGCCTTCAGCACTTCCACGCCAGAATGCTACTGGGGATCTGTCCTCAAGGGAGGCTGGCCTGCTTCTTTCTACTGCTGGCCTCCCTCCGTGAGGTCTGCATTGGCACTTTGGGCCTCCCTCAGTCCCAGACCTCTGCATGGTGTGTGTCCCAGTACTTCCCCTTCAGGGTCTGCTGCTGCTGCGGCCATCTGGCCTGAATTTTGGACTTGGGGCCTGAATCTGGACTGTCCCCCTGACTTATTCATGACTGGGACTTAACCTTTTGACTTCCTTTGAATAGGCACACCTACTGCTCGAACAGACACACATACTGCACGAACAGACACACATACTGCACGTACAGACACATCTCCTGCATGAACAGACATGACTTGCACACCCCCTGGATGAACAGATGTGACTCCCACATCTGAATATTACAACTGTTCGTCCAGGGGCACAACTGTGACCCTTAGTATTGGCTTTTCCTTGAGTTAAGATGTGACCTTTGACCCAGAGAACATGCCTGTTGATCTGCTTTTCACGAGTTGGGGTCCTGGGCGAGTGACCCCTTTTATACTGCATTTGTCAGACAGGGTCTAAATCGGGTAAAGGCCCTTTTATAACCGTTAGACTACAGAGTACAGACGCAAAGTTTTTGGTCCATTTCTGGATTCATATGTGTCATCCTTGTCCAAGGACCATGCTATGTTTTTTGTTCAATGAACAGACAAAACTTCAAACTTCCAAAGTGAATCTCTGTTGCACAATATACAATATTATGCAGGCAATGCGCACACATGTGGTGCACTACACACACACACCAGAGCCACACATGGTCCATATGTGCACCAAAGGAGCACCAAAAATTATGGCCCACACCCTGCCCTGCAAACCTACAACACATTTTGAATATTCAATCAATTTCAGGGTTGCATCCCCGCCGACCGGTCGGGCCGACCGCCGACCGTATTGTACCGACCAGTTAGGGCCGACCGGTCGGCGGTAGCCGACGGCTCAGAAAACCCTCTGATTTTTTTTTTGTTCGGACTTCGGGTCTGTACTGCGCTTGCTGAGTACAGCCCAAATCCGCTGAGAAACTTTGGTTTCGGGGTTGGGGGGGGTTGGGAAACAAATTGCTCCTTAACATTTATTTCAAAACCCCTGGGGGCTATT